ATTCTGAGTACTGGGGTTTGCTCCTCCGGTTGGAGATGGGCAGTACGAGCTAGCAAGGTTTGTACCGCAATAGCGAACTGGTCCATGCGATGGTCCAGTTCCTCAAACCGGTCATCAGGTACCGGCCCGAGAGGGTTAACACCTGCAGGGTCCATGGCCCTAGTGTAATGTCACGACAGTGACCAAAGTCACAACAGTGACCCCTTCACACAGCGTGAAACCCACAGAAAGACGGTTACCGGACCTTAGAATGGCCGGACTAGTGTCTGAGAATAGTCAAAGAAATAGCCAGAGGTCAAGGGAATACGGAAGACGGGCACACGATTATCCAAGCCAAGATACGGGAAACCAGAACACAGAATAGTCAGAGAGATAGCCAAGGGTCAATTACCAGGAAGGACAAACAGAAAAGATAGCACCAGGGGACTTAAACAAGAACCACACTAGGGCATCTGACAAGTGTCATGATAGCCCTTTTATAGTGTGGGTTCTTTGGCTTTAATTTCGTAGCCACGCCCCCAAAAAGTCCGGGAGCGTGGCCACATTTGAATTTTGGCGCCATTTTTACTCTGACGTTGGCGCGCATGCGCCGCGTCATAAATGTGGGCATGTTCTGAGCGGCCGGCGTCAGAATGGCTGAGCCGCCCCCCGGAAGTATCGGAGGAGGACCCGGCGCTGCGCGGGACCGGCGGGGAAAGGTAAGCGCTCGTTACACTAGGGACACAGACATGGGAACACAGGCACTGGGAGGCTAGGGGACACTGGGAGACATGGGGACACTGGGAAACATGGGGACACTGGTTGGGATGAATGGGGACACTGGGAGACATGGGGGCACTTGTGGACACAGATATGGGGACACTGGGAGACATGGGGACACTGAAAAATGTGTGGTCACTGGGAGACATGAGGACACTGAGAGACATGGGGACACAGACACTGGCTGGGAGACATAGGGACACTGGGAGACATGGTGACACTGGCTGGGAGACATGTGGACACTGAGAGACATGGGGACACAGACATTTGGGGACACTGGGGGGCCATGGGGACACTGAGACACTGAGAGACATGGGGACACAGACACTGGGAGACTATGGGACACTGGGAGCCATGCGAACACTGGGAGCCATGCAGACACTGAGAGACCCAGGGACACAGAGACATAGGGACACTGAGACACATGGGGGTACTGAGACACTTGGGGACAATGGGAAACATGGAGACACATACACTAGGGACACAGAGACATGGGGACACTGAGACATTTGGGGACACTAATGTAGTAGGGACACTGAGACATGGGAACACAGACACTGGGAGACAAGGGGACACTGAGACACTAGGGACACTGGCTGGGAGGCATGGGGACACTGAGACACTTGGGGACACTGGGAGACATGAGGGCACTTGTGGAAATAGACATGGGTACACTGGGAGACTGAAAAATGTGGAGACACTGGGAGACATGGGGACACAGAGACATGGGGACAATGGCTGGGAGACATGGGGACACAGACATTTGGGGACACTGGGAGACATGGGGACACTGGGAGACATGGGGACACTGAGACACTAGGGACACAGAGACATGGGGACACTGAGACATTTGGGGATGCTAAGGTAATAGGAACAAACACATGGGAACACAGGCACTGGGAGGCTAGGGGACACTGGGAGACATGGGGACACTGGGAGACATGGGGACACATAAGGTAACCAAACAAATAAAAACAGAAGAGGCCAGGAGAAAAAGAAAGCATGTGTTAACCCCATTATAATGTGCAAAAAAAATTGATAGCTAATAAAAAGATATCCATGTCACTTTCCCGACCATGGAGATGTATAAACTACATGTTAAGGGGGTTGAAGTGATAACAATAATAGAAAATAAGAGGTAGGGAAAATGAGAAGGGTCAGGGTGATCCAGCATTAGAATGAAAAAGATGGGTCATTGTCATATATTGGCAAGAAACCAAAGGTTGCAAGTCCTATGTTATGATTTTAGAGTTTCATAAATCTGGCTTGTAAGTAAGACTTGATTTTAGAAACGTTTTTTTCCTATAATTTTTTTTAATACTAGACTTTTTAATGAATTTAATTAATCTAATATGAAAAACTTCCCTTCTCTTTTAGTGCCCCACCCCTGCTTAATGTTCCTCTCCCCTCCCTCTTTTTTAGTGTTCTTTCCCCCCTCTTCTCCAGTTCCATAGTGTTATTTTCTTTCCTCCCCTGTCCCAGTGTTTTTCCTCCATCCCATAGTGTTCTCCCCTCCTCTCCTGTCCCATAGTGTTCTTCCCCCCCTCTCCTGTCCCATAGTGTTCTTCCCCACTCTCCTATCCCATAGTGTTCTCCCCCCCTTCTGTCCCATAGTATTCTCCCTCCCCTGTCCTATAGTGTTCTCCCCTCCCCTGTCCTATAGTGTTCTCCCCTCTTCCCCTGTCCCATATTGTTCTCCCTCCCCTGTCCCATATTGTTCTTCCCTCCCTTGTCCCATAGTGTTCTTTCCCCTCACCTGTTCTATAGTGTTCTTTCCACCCCTCCCTGTCCCATAGGCCCCCCCTCCTCACCCCTCATCCAAAATAAAATAAAATACATTTCAGTGCATCCCTATTCATAGGGGGTCCAGGGGTTTTATCATTCACCAGAGCTTCACTGTAGCCCTTCATGCAGCTAGGGCCACTCTTGCAGGAAGCCTATTGTCAACTATTGTGAAAAAGTGAAGTGGATATGACAATATCAGGGTCCAGGAGTTCAAGGGAAAAGGTTTATCTACGATGTGACATGAAAGGGAATTAATTAGTGTCCATAACAGTATCAGCTTAGGGCTCAACCAATAGTGCAGAAAAGGTCCCTCTCTCTCTACAAAGCTCAGACATGAGACTGCACATTTGAAATAATCCTTTAGGGATGAGGTAACATCTAAAAAGCATTTTACGCAAATCATGAGGGAGGCTGTCACATCCGAGATGTCAGACCAATCACACACCTCATTAGGAGAACCTAAGTCCCTTTTACGTACCTACTCTCTTTTTATTCATTCATTCTGGTTACTGTTTCCCCATACTCTGTGTGTGTGTGGGGGGGGGGAGTGGGTACCCAATCTTGACACTCTCATAGTGAATCTGTGTGTATATGTGTCTGTGGGCATAGTTGCATAGTTACATAGCTGAAAAGAGACATGCATTCATCAAGTCCAGCCTTTCTCACATTTGTTTTTGCAGTTGATCCAAAAGAATGCAAAAACACAGTCTGAAGTGCTTCCAATTTTGCAACAAACAAGGAAAAAGATCCTTCTTGACCCCAAAATGTCAGTCAGATATCAAAAAGCTATTATCACACTAATTAATCATTATATCCTTGAATGTTATGTTTTTGCAAGTATTAATCCAATTGTTTAAACATCTGTATAGACTCTGATAAAACCACCTTTTCGGGCAGAAAATTCCACATTCTTATTGTTACTACTCTAAAAACCCTTTCCTGTGCCTTAGACTAAATCTCCTTTCTTCCAGTCTAAATGTGTGATCTCTTGTCCTTGGTGTAGTCATGTTTAGTTCTGTTTAGGAATAGATTTCCAGACACTGGTTTGTATTGGCCCCAAATATATTTATACAATGCAATCACATCCCCTCTGAGGCGCTGTTTTTCTGAACTAAAAATGTTAAATTGTTAACCTTTCTTCATAACTAAAAATGCTCTATTCCTTTTTGTAATTTTGTAGCCCGTCTTTGCACTTTTTCTGGTGCCATAATATCTGTCTTTAAAAAGATGCCCAAAATTTTCAAACAGGTGCACACTTCTTTGTGTGGCAGTGCATGTTTCTCTGGAAATGTGCCCTTGTGTGTGTGTGTGTGTGGCAGTGCATATGTGTTTGTGAATACATATTTGCATGCAATCACCAATATTACACACAGACACAGCCCTGTATTCAAACGCCAACACTGCACACAAAAGCTGTTCTGCATTCAAATGCCAACACTACACACAAATACATCCCTGCATTCACATGCCAACATTAAAGACAAAAACACCCCTGCATTCATACACGAGCACTACATAAACAAATCTTGCATTCAAACACCAACACTACGCACACTCTTGCATTTAAATGTCAACACTACCAACAAACAGGCTCCCTTGCATGCAAACATCAGCATTACACAAAAATATGCAAACATTCACACATGTATCCTCCATACATAGAGTTAAAATGCCTTGTTGCACATGTTGATTAAACGTGCTGCACTATCCTACGATATTAGACAAGGAGGATCAGGCTGAAGGGAGAACTCTGGAGCTGAGGTGAGTTTTAGTGTTTATTTTTTTCAGTGGGGGTGGATGGAAGACACAAAAAACATGGAAACACTGTTTTTTGGTTGGAAAAACCTTTTAGGTCACAACTTAACTATCTTGGCCTAGATGTTGTTCTTTGGTTTTCAGTTTTGTGCTATTTGTTGCTTAGTAAACAAACTCTACCGCCGTCTAATGAGCAATGTGCAGTGACAAAAAAAACATAGTTTTGCAAAATGATTAATGTCTTTGATAAGATCTGGAAACATTGGTTAATAAGAGTTAAAGCAAACATGTCATACATTAAACCCTTTTTAGGCAAGAGGTTAGGAAAATTCCACTATTTTGTGACAGTCTTTGGATGTCATCTGTCGGTAATAGGGTTATATTGACTCACTTGCTGATGCTGAACTTCAGTTCCTACAAGTATCTCTTTATTAGCAGAGAATTATGGGAAATGTAATCTTGGAGGGACCACAACCAACATCTCTGAAATGCTGTCATATCAAAGAAAAGTAATAAAGAAGTCTGTCACGGGGGGCGGGGCCTGACCGCAGAGCCGAGTGGTTGACAATCTTCAGAACTCCAGCAACAACCCGCATAAAACACCACTTTTCATGACACAAACGACGACCACTTGGGCCACAAAGGCTAGCAAAAAACAGGGTACACTAAACGGAGCATTATGATACCCCTCACACGCCGAAATGAGTGGTACTTCCCAGACAAACTCAAGAGGCCTACTCGACAGGCGAGTGCGGGAGAGACGGCCGCTATCCCCCTGCCACAACTGGATATCCGTGTGGAGAAGGGCTCTTGTCCCGGTCCACCAGCCTATGATGAGCACTCACTTCTGGGACAATCGTACGAGCAACTCTGAACAAGCGGCCCCAGGAGGCAAAGCCAAGATGACCGACGGCAGCGCCGTGAACCCGCCGCAACAGTCCGCGAATGAATGGGCTGGGCCTTCCAGGCCAAATTTGAAGCAGTATGTCGGAAATTTTGGGAGGGACTGGAGAGGAGGAGCCCACCTCCAGCCCCGAAACCAGCTACGAAAGCTGAATGGCTACGCACACCTCCACACTTGCGGCCGAAGCATCTGAGAAAATAAATTTCACCGCGGGAGCGAGTGTCCAGCACCACGTTAAGGCGGAAGGTACGACGGGGGGAAATACCTGCCCAAAGCGCCCAAACAGAGCCCAAGCAATGGCATCAATGCCACATACGAGAGGCCTACCTAGACCCACCCCGACCCACAGGAGTTATCAGAGCTCAAAGCGAGCATGCCACCAACAACGAACCGAAGGCCTATAGCCATCGCCCACTCACCGCACTGCCAGCACAGATGCACCCCAAAGTCCCAGCAACATATTCAAGCACGGCACAGCAGATCAGCAAGCCATGCAAAAACACACACCCACGCTGAAGGCCCCAGCAGGGAAGACACAGAAACAACCCACGACACTATCAGCGGCAGTGAGGCGAGAACCAACATGGAGCAAACCCAAGTCAGACAAGCCTCACAAAAAAACAGCCCTGGTCGCCGTAGCACACTGCCTCCCTCCTGCATCCTGAAACCTGGCATACCCCAGAACGGGTAGGGACTACGCAACGCCGATACAAGGCGTAGGGTGAGGGGGGACGGTGGCGTTGGGGCTACAGAGGACATCACCAGCCTCCAGCTGCTTAGCTATGAACAGTATGCCTTATTACTTTTATTTTTATTTTCTTACCTCCTGCCTTTATTGTTCCCTGGACTCTAATTGTATGTATTCGTAACTCTGATCAGCACGTCCTATGCCTGATCAGAGTTACGAAGCACCCATATGCTGTTTAACATTGTCAGTTACCTAGAGTAGCTTAAACTTACAGAAATGCCTTAGATCTGATAGCTAACCCAGCAACTAGACTACCAGAAAGGATATAAACTGCCTTTTTGCCGTTAGGTCACTATTTGCCCAGCTCAGCCAGGTCAGGAGAATACATTATATTGATACCAAACGTACTGTTTTAACTCTTGAAGCTCTAGCATGTTTCTAACTGTAATCTCAATCTACGTTTAAATCCAACTGTTTAAACCTGTTTAAAACTAAAAATTGTGCCTGTTATTCATGTGCCCCGCATGTTAAGCGTGGGAAAAGCCAGAGGACTGCTTTTAGGGCCTGTATTTTATATTTGCACTGCACAAATAAAGAATAAAAAAAAAAAAGTCTGTCACATCCTGTTCTGCTGTTCCAAAAATATTGTATTCATGTTTTTATGTATATGTGTTATTCACAAACAGGACTATACATAAAAACTTTACCAAAGGGGATAAGATAATTGTAGGCCACGTCTTGATAGCGACCACTATGGTAATACCACGTTATTGGAGGTCTGACGTAATTCTTGCTATTAAATAGGTATTAACATTGACCCTAGAGAATAAGTGCTATGAGATACACCTCAGATTGCCAACATACACAGCAGAATCATTAACTTACCACTGGAACATATGGGAGGATAATGTCAAAAGAAAATACTCTTTATGAGGTACTTTATGCTGGATTGTGGTTTGTGCCTCTCTTTTTACTCTTGTTCTGTTTGTATACACAACTGTTTGTACACTATTTATCACTAGTACATGACATTACGTTGTGTTTTTCATAAAGCATATGTTACCAATTTTATAATGGATGAATATTTTTTTCCCTGATTCTTTTTGTTTGTTTGATTTGTATGTATTCTTATTCTTTATTCCATATATTTTGTTGTTTTTCAATGGTTATTTTTGTTAAAAATTAAAACCTTTCCCAATATCTCTGAGCTACAATCCTGGCTCAGACAGCAAGACTCATATCGACGTCAGCGACTCCACTGTGGCATCAGCTCAAACAGCAGTCAGTGCACCGCACTCCCTAATGGACCTGATCTGGGTCCCTGCCCAATTACACCCCTGGCAGCTAAACTTATTATCACCCGCAAAGGTAGCGCTAAATGCTTGGTTAAAATGGGCCCCCAAATTGATGACATACCAAATGAGCATGTATGCCTCTCTAGACAGTTTACAATATCGCACAAAAGACTTACTACTGGGCCAATTGACAGAGAGGGGAATCACCAAGGTGGCACAGTTAATAGATGAGGGACAAGTACGACATTTTCCTGATCTACAGCAGGCCCACTTATTACCAAACAAAAAAACTCTATACATACCTACATGAAAAACACATTTTGGGAGATGTTGGATTGACCAATGTAGATGCCCAACACCTGAGTGCATTTGATGCACTGTGTCTGGGTCGCCCGGTTCTTTCGAAACCACTCTCCCTTTGCAACCGGCATTTACTAGAGCTGGACAGACCTCTAAAAATGGCCTACATGGTCCAGTGGGAAAGGGAGCTTGGACGTACTATAGAGCCCAGCAAATGGCTTTAAGCCATGACGCAAGTGAAACAAGCTACACACTGTTTGTTTTGAATGATTTTTATTTTCATGCCAAAGAGATAGCAAGCATGCGATTAAGCGTGATGTTGCCTGTGCAGAGGCTCATAGTAAGATTAATTGCAGTGTTGCCTGCGCAGAGGCTCATTGTGCTGAAATATAATTAATAAGCTGGTGCCTACGCAGAGGTCCAGTATGGTTTTACAGGATGGCAGTCATCGGCACTACCTAAGCATTTAAGTTCAGTGCTGTGTACATGCGTTGCTGATCATTTCATGTGCCAATTGTTAGACCTAAGCAATCAATTTTTCTTGCATGATAGACGCAAACATTAGATAACGTACATTAAAATCAAATAATATAAACTTAACGGCTTCTAATGTGGTTAACATGTATACACATATATCATATTCAGTTTCAGGCCGAGGTGCACACATGTGAATATTCAGCATTTAATGCTTCAATCAAGCGTATACCATTGCTAAATGTACCATGAATGTAAAAAGTTACTTAAAAGGAAAAGAAAAAAAAACAAAAAAACCTCAAGCTATATATGTTTTACACGGGTTCAAATACTTGCTTAATAGCACGGTGCGGTAAGCATATATGGCAGAAGCGGTGCATTAGTCAAGCATCGTGAGGCTATAGTAAATCATATTAGCATTATGACCATGTCTTATTAATTGTCTTATTAATTGCACAATAGGCATGCTATGAAATAGATGTACAGAAATTAAAAATAAAAACTTTTAACATAAGCAGCATATTCCGTTTTTAAGCTGCTGTGTAAAAATATAAAATGAAGCTATCTAGTTTTCAAGTATGTAGTAATAAGCGACTTTACAGCTTATCATGCAGCAGTCGGCTATTATGTACGCAACAACAGACAGCATCAATCTTTGGCCCCTAGGGGCATTATAGCATGAACTGTGTATTCCTTTGGCATTTTAAACTAACACGGTAATGAAGAACCAGCATCAAATAATCAAAGTAAAAACTTAATTTGCATAAAGAACCATTTCTAAGACGAATTATCAGGGAACAGTCCCTTTGTCCTTGTCTGCCCTTTGTTGTTTTTTTTGTTCTTTGCTTGGAATAGCTTTTAGGTGAAGTGAATCTGTGAAGACGCAATAATTGAGTCTCTCCACTGGAGGTGGCGTAGTAGTGCCTGGGAAGATAAGTTGTCCTGTGTGGGGTTAATAATCCCCTGTGCGGTAACTGTGTGGGCTTCTCCCTACCGTGGCCTCTTGTTGGCTTGTGCCAAGGTTGCTTCTATTTGCCAAGCAGGTCGGTCATTGCAAGGTCCCTCTGGCTCCCCCGGTGCAACCGTCCCCCTCTGCTCCCCTCCAGGCCTGCTCTGGTCGGTCAACCGGGAGCACTGCAGTGCTGTGGGCACTCAGGGATGTCAGCAGTCCGGCAGACTCCCACCCCTGAAAAGTCCTCAGCCCCTTGTCCCCTGCACCTCCCCAACTCCTGCAGTTCCCCGTTGGAGCTCCAGCCCCATGGTGCCTCACCCTTCTCCGGTCTTATGCATGTCGTCAGTGCTCGCCTCCCCGGCCACTTACCCCGACACCACAGGGCTCACAAAGTTGGGGGCACGCTTCCCTGGACCACCACCAAATCCTAGGGTTAGGGCCGGCTCCGCGCCAACCATTCTGCCGCCCGGAGGGGTTCAATCCATGGGATCCACAACCCCGGAGGGCCCAGGCGACCCCGCGTAGCTCCCTGCAGCTTGCGTGTTCAGCGGCCATCTTGGCTCCTCGTGAGGAAGAATTCCTCATTGTGTGGGCCTTCCGCCTCCAGTCTCCGGAGGTCTGACTTGTGGGCCAGGATCACCCCCCGCCGGCCTGAGGGGGGGGGGGAGTGGGGCCGGGTCCGGATCCCCCTCTCTCCCTCTGCCGTCCGGTCTCACACCTCCTGTCATCGCCACATACGTGTAGGCCTTGTGGGCTCATCTTACTCCAGTTATGCGGACTGCTCGGCCGTGGCTTAGCTGTAGTTCTTGCGTTATGCTCTCGTGCCTCCCCCCGCTTAATGCTTATGTCTGTTTCAGTTCCAGGTGGGCTTTTAGTGCATTATTTCCTTATATTGATGTGGCCCATTGCCAGAGCTAGCTCGGATGGCTGCCGCTCGACTCGGCGGCCCCGCCCCGCCCCCGGTTTTCTAGAGATTTTGTAAAACATGCATAATGCATGAAAGCTGACACTTGGTCCCACATGTTTGCATGCATGCTTTTAGCATGTCCATCCCATGTTGTTCATGCACACAGCCAGGTGGCCAATCATAAAATGATTCTATAACACCCTACATTACAGGGTTCCATGAGCTGGTCTGTTAGTCGCTACACACTGTTTGGATCACATAGAAGCAGCTTATAAAATGTGGATGAGGTGGTACCTTACCCCCCAGAAACTAGCTCATATATACCCAGGCACCCATAAAACTTGTTGGCGATGCTGCCAGAATGTGGGAACCCTAAGTCATATCTTCTGGCACTACCCAGAACTCACAGCCTTCTGGCAACAAATCCAACTTCTAATAGAAAAATGAATGGGGAAGATACTATCCCTCGCACCGGAGAGATATCTACTCCATTTGTTGCCCACAAAACACGAAGTAGCGCTGACCATCCACATCACACTCGCAGCTAAACTTTGTATAGCCACCCTTTGGAAATCAA